CAAGTCGAGCAGCATGCCAAAGCCTTGAAATTAAACACAACAACAATATGATTCCATAGGGGGACAATCTGCTGGAGCTGGCAGAGGCCACGGTGACCCTGGCGGAGGTGATGGAGCTAAAGGGCGACCCGACAGGCCTAGTGGAAGGCACCATTATCGAGAGCCGTTCCGATAAGGGCAAGGGGTGGGTCTCCACATGGCACAGCCACGGATGAGAGCACGATCTTAGCATTTGGTTGTAGGAATGGTGGCACCAAGCCTTCTAGCTTGATTTAATCGGGTTACAAAACTGCCAAGATTCACACAAAATCACAATCTAAAAGCATTATATTGTCAAATGTAAATAGTCCATTAGAATATGAGTGAAATTATTGGACTAACAGAAATGAAAAATAGCCTTGGTAAACATTTTTAAACTCTTTAAATGAATTTCAGTTCAATAAGATGCTGCTTACAAATTTGTTTTTACAAATGATGTCCTGTTTTGCAGGCCAGTTACGACAGCAATTATCCATCGAGGCACGCTAAAAAAGGGCTGCACTCTGGTGGCAGGGAAGACATGGGCCAAGGTGCGGTTCTTGTTTGACGAGAACAACTGCACAGTGAAGGAAGCTGGGCCGAGCACTGCTGTGGAGATAGTGGGGTGGAAGGAGCTCCCCTCTGCCGGTGAGGAGATCCTGGAAGTCGAGTCTGAGGTAATCTCTCGTGGACAGACATAAAATAAATGTAGCATCTGTCCCAGGACTGTGAGGTGTGAGGGACAGTGGCGGCTCCTGAAAAAATTCTCAGGAGGGGCAATTTTTCTGATGATTTAGGTGACCTACACACATTTAAAAAAAAGATATGTCCAGCAACAACATGAAGACAGGGGCAGCATATAAGTCAATACCAGAAGCATTTATTGACTGATCTCAAAAGTGTTGGCTTACCAGGGTTGGTGGAGCCCTCAGTTTCATCTTTGCCTCGCAAAGCTAACTCAAACACTCCGCAAAACTTCACACACTGGATTAGCCGGCTGAGGATGTGGCGGTTCTTGCTAATGTCGTAGTAAATATATTTGTTATAGTGAATATGGAATATGATATGTTGAGTAAAATGTTGTGCTAAGATCTATTTAGGTCAGGAGCTGGTTATAAGTTCTGTTCCTATCCAATAACAATGGACAAAAGGGTCCTATCTTGTCAGCCTTGTCAGCAGGTGGCCAAGGACAACACCCACGCCATAGGCCTCTCAGTTCTTCCAACTCACGAGTTCTTGCTCTGAGGACACACACACACACACAAACACACACACACACACATCATCACTGTTAAACACACACACACACACACACACATCATCACTGTTAAACACACACACACACACACACAAAAATCCCCTCTCTTAGGCTGAACATTTGAAGACAGAGAACCCGACTCAGAGCCAATGCAACAGTGACAGTAGCCTGGAGGTGACCTCGCCCAACTCATCAGGACCAATCAGAAGATCAGAACTACTAGATTGAACCTACTTCATTTATTGCATAAAATGTCTGCACACAATGTTTCGGGGCTCTCTTCAGATAATAATAATAATAATAATAATAATATGCCATTTAGCAGACGCTTTTATCCAAAGCGACTTACAGTCATGCGTGCATACATTTTTGTGTATGGGTGGTCCCGGGGATCGAACCCACTACCTTGGCGTTACAAGCACCATGCTCTACCAGCTGAGCTACAGAAAGTGGATACTCATGGATGCGCATTGCAATTGTAAAATGTCAACACAATTGGAGACACCACGTCATTTTTGGAGACATGTTATTGACAGTAAACTATTGTAGATGCGACTGCTAACTAAATAAAACATTTTAGCTGGCTAGCTAATCATCTTAGCTAAATGTGGGGCAAACAATTCAGTTATTTACCGTTAATTTGAGGGATTGGGGTGAAAGAAATCGAGTTACATAGTGATACTTTACGATATACTGTATTGACAATATCGCAATATTTTAGCGCTAGTTGGCTGTACCTGCACCAAAACACCATTATTGTTCCTTCATAGCTTGTTCTCAATCTTTTCACATTGGGAGCCAATTAGTTTTCAGCACTTTTATTTCCATGACTGATCAAAACTCGTTCTCATGGCTTTCTGATCCCTCTGCAACAGACATATGGTGCGCAATAAAATCACAGTATCGAATCGCAATACGTATAGAATCATGAGACTCGCAATGCTGATGCATATATCTTATCGTGAGGTTCCTGGCAATTCCCAGGCCAAGTTCATTTGCCACAACAAATCTCTTCGCTAGCAAACGCGATGTCTTCTCCAAAACGACAATGTGTCTCCAGCAATGTTTACTTTTTTGACGTTCTATGGCATCTCCACTTTCCAAGCATATATGACCACATGTAATATTTTGGTAAGTGATGCAAATAGTGAACTATGTAGGGCCAGGATGTAAAATATATGTAGCTGCAGCAATTTCTCTTATCTGATATGGTAAGTAATGGGGCTTAATTTATAGCTCCCTAAGAGTTTGACGAACGGGTCCGTGAACGCGATTCCAGATATATTTACCTCTGAATAAACTGCCTTTATTACACCATATCCACATCCAGTAAACTTGTGATTATCAACACTAACCTCATCGTTGTGGCGGCGGACAGCTAGCCTGTATCCCTCGTCATCCAGTTGAGTGAGTGGCAATGTCTTTTTTCGTTCGTACCAATTTTTGGAAAATCCTCGGGTGTAGGACTTTCCGCCTTTAGTAGAAACCTGTTGAATTATTAAATTTGGTCTGGGAGGTCCTAATTGTTTCGTTGCCAATTTATCTTAATTTGTTCGCCGACAAAAAGGAACTTCTTTCAAAGACACAATCGAGTTGGACTGAAGCCTAGCCATTTTGATAGTAGTAGTGAATTGATTGAGGCTGCTACCTGGTCTTTTCTTAGTTACGTTCATTCGTGGTTACGTTATGTATGACGAAAGCGCGTAAGTGCAAGCCCACAGACACCCATAGAGAATGTATTGAAAGCTTTGAAATGTGAAAAAAATAGATTTTACATGACAGGCTATGAGAGACTTCTGGGCGATTTTCAACCTGACTGAAATCGCCCAAAAAACGGGCGGGGCCATTTGAAGCACGACTTTAGCCTGATTTGACATTTAGTGGCTGTCAGATCAGACGTGAACACTGATAACTGCTGTTGCCGTGATATAATTTTTTATAAATTTATTAAAAAAAATTATATATATGTTTTATTTTTTATTTTTTTATAATTGATTAGAAAAAAAATCCCTTCCTTTTCCCGTTTGGCAGTGCGTCGCCCATATCGCCCTATTGAACAAGCCGTCCCTGGTGAGGGATAATGAGAAACAATTGTTCCGGTGTACCTCTCCCCCAGAACCTTATCCAGTAGCCAGCGTTTCGGCAAGATTTTAGATATGGGTTGCCGAGATTAAGTCTGAGGTGACATATATATTGCATTATTACAAGACTGCAGGAATTCTAAAGTCTGTATGTGATTCAGCCAACTTCGAGTTTGGTAGTCATACAACCCAGCCTCAAAGCAATATCTGGACGTTTTATTTATTTATGAGAGTGAGGAGTAGGAATAGGCCTTATCGGATTCATTAATTGCCTTCAGCCACGATCCAATATCATGCATTGTTGACATGTCACATAGGCAGCTAGCCAAATCAATCCTTGTGTTGACTACTCACACTTCAATTTGCAGTGAAGATTGTTCTATATCGTGGAGCTCCGCCCCATAGGGGAGCTCTGCTCCTATTGGTTTACCCACTGCCCTAAGGCAGCATCAGCCTGAGACAAAATTATGCACACACCTGCAGCCAATAGGAGTACAGGTGTCCCTATAAGAGGGGATGCCTCCCCTCAATCAGCCTTCCTTTATCTTCAGCGACTGGACTAGACTGGAGAAGCCAAGAAGACACGAAGAAAAGACTCAGGACGAAGATAACGCCGTCGATTTTCCAGTTCATCGACGTCGTCCTAGAATGAGCACACCAGGAGATTTTCCACCCCCAAAAGCTCTTTTCAGAGCTCAATGCAGATGCTCCTCCATGGCGGCCGGTGACTCCCACAACTTATGTTTCGTGTGTTTAGGGTCCCAGCATTCCAAAGAGGGTGTCTGCAGTCCCCCTAATTGCGCCTCCTGCGCCCTCCTTTCTGTAAAGGAGAGGAAGCAGCGCTGGGCGTTTTTTAGGGAGGATATCCCTCTAGAGGATGTGCTGTCGATATTAGCCTCTGCTTCAGAGGCGTCATCTGACGGCGCAGACTCAGGGGATGATAGGGACTTTGAGGAAGAGGCTGACATTCCAATGGAACAGTCAGACCCCGTCCCTCATACCTTCAAGCCCCCCTTTCCTTTGGTTAGCGAGAGGGCTGGTAGTTCCTATGGCGATGACGACACGGGCTCTGAGAAATCAGAAGCCCTGTCCTTCGCTGCAGCATCTCTGAGAGCGGATTTTCCGGGTCTCATAGAGAGAGCTGCTAGACGATTGGAGATACCGCTGCCCCCTATTCCCTCCGCCCCGGAGGTGGATTTAATGGAGGGCGGCCCTTACTCCAGGCCAAGAAGAGAGGCGGAGCCATTGGCTCCTGCCATGCCTTCATTGGCCAAATACGTCGAGGGCTCATGGGAGGCACCTTTAGTGGCGCGTTCGCCGGCTAAAACGTACCTCCCATTCACTAGAGTGGAGGGAAGGTTCCAGGGCCAAAACAAGGGAATCCCCAGGTTAGAGAGCGCCATGGCAGCGTATCTCGTACCGGGTTCGAGTCCCTGGCCCTCTTCCAGAAAAGCCATGTTGCCATCTCAGAAGGACCGCCTCACAGCACAGCTGTTAGAGAAGTCCTTCAATTTGGGAGCCCAAGCTGTAGCAGCAGCTAACAACATTGCCCTCTTGGCAGCCGCTCTGTCCCGTTTAACCACGGGTAAGACAGATTTCTGGCGCCATCCTACACCTAACACAGGCATCGGCCGTCTGCTCGGGAGGTCCATGGCCACCTCGGTGGTTGCGGAGCGACACCTCTGGTTGTCGTTGACGACCATGAAGGAAGCAGACAGGACGTCCCTCTTGAACGCCCCCCTCTCTGACGACGGACTTTTCGGAGTCGCCGTCAAGGAGGCGACGGAGAGGTTTTCAAGACTGGACGAGGAGAAGAAGCAGTTGGCCAGACACCTGCCATTGGCAAGGAGGTTAGGCCCTGCGCCGTCACAAGGACCATCGACTTCCGCCCCCCAGAGTAGACAAGGGTCTACGGCGAGGCGGCGTATCCGGCGCCAGTCGGCGGCCACAGGAGGCAGGAGAGCGGGCCCAGCCCCCCCAGCAGCCACGGTGGCCCCGTTGCAGCCGGCAAGAGAGGTGGTGAAGACGCCGACCTGGGCCCCCAAGGGAGGCCACAAGAGGAGGCGCACATGACGGGACGCGGGGGAGCGGATGGAGGTCACGTCATCATTGAACGTGACCACTGTTCCCCCCCACCCTTCGGTTGAAGGGATGGGTGATGATGTTTATGCTGTTGTTGATGTGTTTAATAAAGAGTTGGCTCCACCTGACTTTGTCAAAAAAGAGCCCCTTTTCCATAATACGTCCGAGAGCGTTCAAATCTCACCCTCTCTCACCTACCACTCTAAACGCCGTTCAGCCCACCAGGGGTGCGTTGCTGAACAGGCAGTTAGAGTAG